GTCAGTTGGAGTTGAGAATAATCCACAACTCCTCAGTCACACATTCACATGTATGCTCATGTCATGTCAGTTGGAGTTGAGAATAATCCACAACTCCTCAGTCACACGTTCACAGGAACAGTCTTTTTTTGGGACTGGGGGCGGGGGAAGAAGTCTTTAATGATCATTTCTTTTGTCTTTTTCTTGTTGAAGACATACACCAATTCAACAATTCTTACATACTCAATTCCATGACATTTGACATTTATTACATTCTTCAAATTGTATGCCATTTCCACCCTCATTTTCCAAATTGTTCCTCCCCCATTAACATAAGCTGCAAACCAAAACCAACCCATTGCCTTAGTCGATTCCGACTCATGGTGGCCCTGTATGTAGTACGGAGTGGAGCTGCCGCATTGGGTTTGAAGGCTGTGTGTCTTTATAGAAGCAGACTACCACACCTTTTTCCCACGGAGCAACTAGTGTGTTTGAACTACTAACCTTTCCGTTACCCCTGTGAGTGCTTTAACCACTGTGCCAGCAGAGTTCCTAACATACGCTCACTGCTCCTAGGTTTCCTGTCTAACCTTTCAATAGGAAAGTTAGGTTCCATACAGGCATACGGGCATGTTTGCTTCCATAAGGGCATACCTTGTTTCCTTGCGCTTCAAAGATATTGCATTTTTTGTAAATTGAAGGTTTACGTCAACCCTGTGTCAGACAAGTCAGTCAGCACCATTTTTCCAACAGCGTGTGCTCACAGTTTTGTAATTCCTACAATATTTCAAACATTTTCATATGCTATTGCACACTACCTGTAGTATAAACATCTTTTAAATGTACTAGGAAACCAAAAAGTTCTTTTGACTTGCTTTATTGTGTACTCTATGCACTAGTCTGGAACCAAAGCCACAGTATCTCCAAGGTGTGCCTGTATAAATAATTCTTTTAAAGACACAATGCAAAGACATTATTAATTAAGCTAAAGTCTTAAAGTGGCGCTGTAGGATAAGCAATGGACTGCTAACCACAAGTCGGCTGTTTAAATCTACCAGCTGTTCCTTGGAAAACCCTGTACCAGGTCATTTTGAGTCAGAACTGACTTGATGGCACTTAAACAACACTGCTTTTTTTTTTCCCCCTTTTATTGTGTGATAGTTTACATGGGGGAACATTAGCTTTACACTCATTCTATCATACATCCTTTCATTGCCATAGTTACCATCCCATCCATACATCATTATCCAACCAAAGTTTATACCCCGCAGGCCCCTCCTCTCTCCCCACGGTCCTCAGCACACAGCTCCCTTCCCTCCCTGGATCTCAAGTCCTCAGCCACTCCATCTCTTCATGTCATCCTCTCTGTCTCCATCTCAGGCCTCGCTGCTTCTCTGGGTAGGGTCCCTATTTCTGTTCTTCTCCAGTGATGGTCCCAGGGGCCTTCACTCCTAGACTGAAAGGTTAATCACATCCCTCCTTGCTATAAAATATCCACCTTTACCTTTCCAGTCCTCACATTCCATCCTGATAACAATTATTCATCCCTGCGTCACAAGAGACCCATCCGCATTTCTTTTTATTAGCCCTTCCTAGACAGGTTGGATATTACTCACTTGAGATTCCACCCTTCCTCCCCGCCCTGTCGATCCAGGTTCCCTCTTGAAAGCTTGTAAGCCAGTCACTTCTTAACTTTGTATCCCTCCCCCCATTTTGGGCAGCCAATGTTCAAGTTGCCCATCCCTATACTGGACATATTGTAACCCCTTTTTAGGTATTCCAGTCAGTTCCAGGCAGAAGATGGACTTACAAGCTTTCTATGGTGGTATTTCTGGTTATTCCTCCCTCTCCTCTCCCGTGACTGTTTTATAATATAATGCATGGAAAACCAAGGTTCAAGAGTCAGCCAAGCATCTCAACATTATTCCCCCCCCTTTCCCCATTCCAACCATGTCCCAGTCTCTGTATCCCAGAGCCCTGTAAACAACAATGATTTTGTTTAGGAGCTCTAGTGGTGTGGTGGTAAAAGTGCTTATTACCTGCTAACCAAAAAATTGGTGGTTCAAGCTCACTAGCCACTCTGAATGAGAAAGATGTGTAAATGTGCTTCTATAAAGATTCACAACCTTGGAGACTATGGTACAGTTCTTTATGAGTCTGAATTGACTCGAAAGCAATGAGCTGGGTTTGGCTGTGGTATTGTTTGGTTTAAAGAAAACATCAGGGACTATATTTGTTTATGGTTTAAAGAGTATCCCCGGGCAATAGTTGCAGGGGTTTGTTCAGCATCAGTGGCGCCAGAATGTCTAGAGTCCATGACAATTTGAAATCCTTTTTCAGATAATTCCCCCCACAGGCAGACTCTTGACATGCCCTCAGATGGCTTCTGGCGATCACTGTGTTTGTTACTTGCTTTATTGCTCTCAGAGAACAACCAAGTTTCCTGTATTCTAAGGTCCTAGGGGAACTCTGCATGCCGATATAAATTGTCAGCAAAGGCATTAGACAGAATGAAAGGCTCGTGTTGAGAAACAGTGGAAAAGGAAAATATGGGGAAGCAGAATGAGGCTCTGCTATAAGGGCTGTTGAATGCCTGACTAAGCCAGATAAACTTTTCCTGTTAGACTGAGAATGTCTTTGAATGAGATTGAGCAGGCAGATAGTTTGTTTGGAGGGAAGTTAATTGTAGGAAGATTCATCTGTCCACAGAGTATATGAGAGAACCTGGAATTAGAGAGACACCTGAGAACTTTAGAGTGAACACTGTTCACCTTTGGGGATTCACATCACATTCTGCTGAGAACACTGCTGACATCTGCAAATGTGTGGCTCTGTTTAGATGTGTGTTGGAAACCTCCAGCCAGTATCTAACTGAGGGTCTTAGGGAAACTATGGAAAATGGGTGTTTTTGATGACTTTTATCAAGATATAATTCACTAACGTGTGCAATGCATTGGCTTTGAGTCTTCTAGCAGAGTTGTGCAGCCATGACCACAGTCAATTTTAGGACTTTTTCATCACTCCATACCCATTAGCTTACCATGGTTAGTCTTCCCATTGCCTTTAGTCCCTGGCACCACTAGCCTACTTCCTATAGCCTTGTCAATTCTGGACATTTCATAGAAATGGAATTATATAACATGTGGAAATGGATTCTTATGTGGACATTGGAGAACGAGAATCTGAGTTTTCTTACTTGTTATAGTCCCTTACAACTCCGTAGGCTTTCCATCCAAAGCTAGGAACAGTCGATAGTAGTATCAGCAGCTCTTTTGGGGTTTCTATAGCTGATTTCATTCTGACCTGTTTTCCTCCTCTTCACAGAAGGTGATGAAGTTGGTACTGGCATCACTGATGACAATGAAGATGAGAATTCAGCCAATCAGATTGCAGGCAAAATACCCAACTTTTGTGTCCTGCTCCATGGCAGCCTCAAAGTGGAAGGAATGGTGGCAATTGTTCAATTAGGGTAGGAAGCTCTGTTTACATTTGGTGGAATGAAAAGAGAAAATGTCTTCACAAAGTAAAGTGCTTCCCAAACTTTTCTGAAAGAACTAGAAAGATCTGTTGTTTTTTTTCCTTTTCTTGCTATATCTACCATCTTGCTCCGTCTCCCATCACCTTCTCGCCTTCTGTTTAAATTACCTGCTAGAATAAGTAGGAAGTGAGCCTTCTTCAATTCTATCCTTTCTCAGCTTTCCTCTTTTCTATGGGTTCTGATACAGCAATAACACTACTTTGCTGTGGAATTTTAGGCAGGACTTGCAGAGCCTCATCTATAAAATGGGGAGGGGGCAGGGGAAGGGCTGAAGATGCTGCTAGCATTGACTGAGCCTTTTGCCATGGACCAGGCTCTCCTCTAGGCACTTTACTTATTTTATCTCATTTGATACCTCACAACAATACTATGCAAGTGGTAGCTGAGGAGACTAAGGCTTAGAAAGGTTTAGCAACTTATTCACAATTACACAGACAGGAAATGAGAGAGCCAGGATTCTTACCCAGGCATTCTGACTCCAGACCCATGCTTATAACCACTCTGCTTTGTCCCTTCCCTTCAAGCAAAGCTTTCCAGCTTTCACATTCTCTGCAGTCTCTGCTTCCCTTTCCATAATACTGTGGCCCAAAATGAGGTGACTGATCATCTCTGACAATCACCTGGGGTTGACTGGTATAGAATAGCAAGAGGTTAGGGTTATTCAAGGAAGCATGACGACTTCTGCTCAAGTTCAAATGAGTGATTCAAAAAGAAGAATGAAAGTCGTCTTACTAGATGTTATTAGCATACAGTATTTCTTGCCACCCTAACTACCTGCATTGGTTCTGAATATAAGCATCACTTGGAGTCCTTTGAGAACCTGGGACAGAGCTTCTTTTCTAGGCCTGAGTGTTGACCTTGTGCCCTATGTTAGAAGGGCTTTTGTGTGGGTGCTTTGTGAGTTACTCGGGGGTGCAGCTAAAAAGATTTACAGGTCATGGCCCTTAATCCTCTTTACCACCCCAACAGCTCCTTGCTGCCCTTTGTGCTATTTGTTTTTTTCTTTCTTTCTTTCTCTTTTTAGACTGCTTTTGATGCCCATATATACATAATTTCACCTGAATAATAATGTGCTCCAGGGGAATGATTGATAATATTACGGGACAACTACGCATTTTCAGATTTAGGATTTGTCTTTGGTAACTTTCAAAACTGCAGCGCATGTCTCTAAACAGATAAACACAGACTAGACTTGTTTAACTGGCCAGTCCCAGGCTTGATTTTCTTCTGATCTTCCATCTTCTCTCCATTTAGTCCTGAGTGGCATGGAATGCTCTACTCCCAAGCCGACAGCAAGAAGAAATCAAACCTCATGATGTCTCTCTTTGAGCCTGGTCCAGAACCTCTCCCATGGCTAGGGAAAATGGCACAGTTGGGTCCTATTTCAGGTATAATCCAGATCAGATTTTTCTTATCTTGGTTTTGTCTTCTCGCTGATATTCTGCAAATCTCTGGCTGTGCAGTCCAAGAGCTGTGTGATGTCTACTACCAGTGTATTGTGGCCTCTGGTGCCGAGTATGTACATGGTGAACCCAAGAGAGTCTGATATTTGAGCTTAAACTTTCATAGCTCAGCAGAAACCACCATTAGTCAATACAAGCATTTTAGCTGCTTAGAGTGAAAAATTATTCTCTGTAAACTTTACTTTGGTACATTATTTTCAAACTAATTATACTGCAATCAGCCATTCCTAAATGATTCAATGTCCATTCCTTCTTGAAACTGTTTTCCCTGCACTCTCCTGACAATGCATTCCGGTGGCCTCGTGGCACTAAGCTGATGGCTTTTTTTTTTTTTTTTTGGCAGTTGTTTATACCCTTTTTGTCTTTCCTTTCCCTTGTCCTACAGTTCTCAAGGTACTGTTCTTTGCTTTCTCTTGGATTATTGTTCTTGATCATGGATTTCTTTAGCTATAAAGGTTTTCACATGCCTCAAATCTCTACCTACAGTTCTGCCTTATCTCTCCCTGGAATTTGTATATTCCAGTTCCCAGCTAGACTATTCCACCTGGAACGTCCTGCCATGGTCTCACGCCCAGCATGTCTTGACAAGAAGCCATTGTGTCAGTCTATAAAGAAAATATTTTGACTTTTTTTTTTTTTTTAGCCATTTGAAACTGAATTAAGCCAGTGTTTTCTTATTTTAAAAAATTTGTTTAGAATGATGGTGCCTTGAATCCAAGGAAAAAAGTTTCTCCTTTATGCTTAATGTTCTTTGAAGGATTTGAAACAGTTTTTAAAAACTAGTGTGTGTATACCAGAAAACCAGAGCTGACACATTTGTACAAGACAAGAAATCGTCATTGAATTGAAATGGCAGTTTGGGAAAGGAATAGAAATGATAATTCATCGTTAGTTATAAGGATTTGGTGTCACGGAATGTCCTGAGTGGCATGGAATGATCTACTCCCAAGCCAACAGCAAGAAGAAATCAAACCTCATGAAATCAAACCAGTTTGATTTTTTTCCATTTGCAGCTAACTACCATGGAAGTAATTCTAATGAAAAATAGACAACTGATTTCAAAGATAATGGTGGTCACATTGCGTTCTGGTCTTCTAATGTCTAAATACTTATTGAGGTCCACCATCTTCTAGTGTGAGTTTCGTTTGTTAAGCAGACTCCATGTTAACGTTGAAAGGAATTCATGAGGGGAAGAACCTACCATGCCCATATGACCCCAGAGATGTGTGCTCCGTAGTGCAAATCTGAGAACTTCCCAGTACTGTCTTCAGCTGTAAACAAGTTCTCAGCTGCTTTATCTCTGTTCCTGGGGAGTACTGCTCTGTCATTTTTCTGAGACTAGTTTGAAGCCTATTACCTCAACTGTTGTCATCATAATCTAGAATTTTTTTAAGTATTTATGTGACTGGCAGTATGACTCTTTTCCTAAAGCATTTTTAAAATGTAATATTAAATTAGGGAGGAAAGATATCATTATTCATCTGACTCTTTGTACCCATAACCCTCCTGTGTGCCTATGGTTATCTTGAGTATATCCTAAACACAGAAGTATCTAGGTGGGGCCAAAATTGAGTCTTAAAAATGTCCATTTAGTCACTTCTTAAGAAGTTAAACTTAGGTATGAGTTTGGGTGCAAGAAACTGACAAAATTACAGTTAAAACAGAAAAACTGGTTAACAGTTGTTTTTGTTGTTAAGTGCCGTCGAATCAGTATAGGGTTTTCGACGAGCAGCTAGTGAGTTTGAACTGCGGACATTGCAGTTCAAACTGGCCTTGGGGTCCAATGCATATCCTACAGCACCACACCAGGACTTCAGTTAGTGTAGTATAGACTTCAGTTGTTGTATTAAGTGCCATCGAGTCATTTCGGGCTCATAGCAACCCTGTATAGGGTTTCCAAGGAGCGGCTGGTGATTTTAAACTACTGACCTTGCTGTTCAAACTGACTGTGCAGTCCAGCACATTAACCCATAAAGCCACACCAGGATTCCATAGACTTCAGCAAGTCTGGTGTAAAGTGTGGTGTTTAGATTATGCTTGTGAGCACCGAAAATAATTCTAAATTACCTCAAAATCTGAAAATATATTTCCCCCAAGTTAAGTGCCTGGCCAGCTTCAATATATTCCTTTTGTTTGTTTATATTTTTACTAATGTTGCAAGTCCAAGAGTGAAAATAAGATGTTTTGTCCAAAGGCTACCATGCATGATCTGTAAATGAATCTGGTAAGTGCTCAGCCGACTGTAATGATAAAAAAAAAAATAGCTTATTTAATACTTAAACTTTAGGACTATAGTAGTTAGATTAATCACAGTTTTGCTTGAATGTTCCCCTCCTTTAAAGTGCTGTGAATTTTTTTGTTTTGATTTGAAAACAAAAACAGAGAAACACTTTAAAGAGGTGAGGGTTTTGTTGTTGTTGTTGTTTTCCCATTCCAAAATTTGTGAGCATAATCCTATTTTGTTTTACATTTACTGTTATAAACTCTTAAACTGGCAGCTACAAAAATGATGACAACAGTTGAGGTAATAGGTTTCAAACTAGTCTCAGGAAAATGACAGAGCAGTACTCCCCAGGAACAGAGATAAATCTTCCCTGCTCCTGCCCCACCCCACCTCCACCAAAAAACAAAGTACATTCTAATTCATTTCTGACAAATAATAAGAAGCAAGAATTATTAAGGGAAATATTTTTAGGTGATTTCTGTAAATTAGATAATATAATTTTTGTACATTGTTTTTCATTCTCTCTCACATGCCACAAAATTATTTAAAGATATTGCTCCCTATAAGAATTGTTTTAAAAGTGTTCTGTTTATCAGAGTAGCTGCAAATATAGTTCAAAATATAACTGGTGATTTTAAATGACTGGAGTACTCATCTAAGAAACTGTGAACTGTTCTCTGGAGGCCAGAGAGGGTCTTGATGGAAACTGTGTGACTTACATTTTTGTACCATCAAATATGGAGTCCTGATGTGTTGTTGTGGGTAAATGCATGGGACTGCAAAGTCGGTTTGAACCACAAGGTCAGTGTTTCAAGCTCACCAGCCGCCCCTCAGAAAACCCTATACAAGGTCGCTATGGGTTGGAACCGACTCAACAACATTTAACAACAACCATCAAGTATAGGTAAAAATACCAATTGTACAAATTCTGCTTTTTAAATGGGAACTTTGGTTCCTTGACCCTACATAAAAGGGTTGATATTTTAAAACTTTGGTTAAATATTTTTCTTGTTAAATATTTTTTTAAAACAAAAATTGAAGTTCAGAAAATAAGATAAAAGAAACTATTGCCTCTTATCCCTCGCCACAGACTTCCTCTTCTGGTTTTCCTACTCCTGTTGACTGAGAAGTACCTACCAAGCAACCTACACTGTGCCATGCTTAGGAAACAAAAGTGTTGTTGGAGTTGCTCAAACTTCTTCTTCTTGTTGTGTGCTGACCCAAAGTGACCCTGTGTAAGGTTTCTGAGGAGCCCCTGGTGAGCTTGAACTGCCGACCTAGCAGTTCAAACCAACTTTGTAGTCCGGCTCATTAGCCCGCAGTGCCACACCAGGACTCCTCAAAGTCTGCTGTATAGTGGAATAATAACACAGAATGATTACTTAGCTCTCTCGTCCACTACTCATCTGCCAGTTTGTCGTACTGTGGAAAGAGCCGTGGGAAAGCTCCATATCATCAGCCAAAAACAAGGCCAGGGGCAAATTGTGGAACATACCATCAATATGCAAATTTAGACTAAGGCTGAAGAAAATTAAAATGAGTACACGGGACCCAAAAGATGACCTTGAATATATCCCACCTGAATTTAGAGGTCATCTCAAACAGATTTGATGAATTAGACACTAAGGAAAGAAAACCCAGAAGAGTTGTGGGATGACATCAAGAACATCAGACAGGAAGAAAGCAAAAGGTCATTAAGACAAGAAAGAAGGAAAAGACTAAAACAAATGTCAGAAGAGATTCTGAAACTTGCTCTCCAGCATAGAGATTCTAAAGCAAATGGAAAAAGTGAGGCAATACAAGAGCTGAACAGAAAATTTCAAATGTTAGCTTGAGAATGCAAAGTCAAATATTTTAAGGAAATGTGCAAAGACCTGGAGTTAGAAAAACAAAAGGGAAGAACACACCCAGCATTTCTTAAGCTGAGGGAACTGAAGAAAAAACACCAAGCCTCAATGTGCAGTATTGAAGGATTCTACAGGCAAAATATTGAATGATGCAAAAAATATCAAAAGAAAATGGAATATGCAGAGTCACTGTACCAAAAAGAAATGGTCAATGTTCAACCATTTCAAAAGGTTGCATATAATCAGAAGCCAGTGATCCTGAAGGGTTTGAAGGCACTGACAAAGAACAAGGCACCAGGAATAGCTGGAGTACATGTTGAAATCTTACAACAAACTGATGCGGCACTGGAGGCACTCACTCATCTTTGCCAAAAAATTTGGAAGACAACTACTTGGCCAACTGACTTGGAAGAAATCCGTATTAATGCCCATTCTAAAGAAAGGTGACCCAACGGTGTGCACAAATCATCGGACAATATCATTGGTATCACATGCGAGTAAAGTTTTACTAAAGATAATACAAAAATGGCTGCAACCATACATTGACAGAACTTCCAGGGGTTCAAACCGGATTCAGAAGAGGATGTGCGTGCAACAAGGGATGTCATTGATGATGTCAGATGGCTCTTGGCTGAAAGCAGAGAATACCAGAAAGATGTTTACTTGTGCTTTACTGACTACGCAAAGCCTTTTGATTGTGAGGATCATGACAAGCTATGGACAACATTGCAAAGAATAAGTATTCCAGAACACTTCATTGTGCTCATGAAGAACCTGTACATAGACCAAGAACAAGGGAACACCAAATGGTTTAAAATTAGGAAAGGTGTGCGCCAGGCTTGTATTCTTTTATACTATTCATACTCAGTTTGTAAATTGAGAAGATAATCCAAGAAACTGGATTATATGAAGAAAAACATGACATCAAGATTGGAGGAAGACTCATTAACAACCTTCAATATGCAAATGATAAAACCTTGCTTGCTGAAAGCAAAGAGGACTTTAAATACTTATGATGAAGTTCAAAGACCACAGCATTTGGTATGGGTTGCATCTCAATGTTGAAAAAAAAAAAAATTCCTCACCCTGGACCAATAAACAACATCCATATAAATGGAGAAAAGATTGAAGTTGTTATCCAAGACTTAATTTTGCTCCGATCAACCATCAACACTCATGGAAACAGCAGTCAAGAAACCAAAAGATGTATTGCATTAGGCAGATCTGCTGCACAAGACCTCTTTAAAGTGTTAAAGAACCAGGATGTCAGTTTGAGGACTACAGTGCCCCTGACCCAAGCCATGTATTTTCAGTTGCCTCATATGCATGTGAAAGTTGGACAGTGAATAAGGAAGACTGTATAAGAATTGATGCATTTGAGAGTTATGGTGTTGGAGGAGCATATTAAAAGTACCATAGACTGCCAAAAGAACAAACCAATCTGTGTTGGAAGAAGTATAGATAGAGTGCTCCTGGGAAACCAGGATGGCCATACTTTGTCTCTCATACTTCAGACATATCAGGTAGAACCAGTCCCTGGAGAAGAATATCATGTTTGGTTAGGTGGAGGGTTGGAAAAAAAGAGGAAGACCCCTTCCCAGTGAGATGGGTTGGCACAGTGGCAGGAGCAGTGGGCTCAGGTGTAGCAACGACTCTGAGGTTGGCCCAGGACCAGGCGGGGTTTTGTTCTGTTGGACTTTGTCACTATGTTTTGGTACCTACTCGATGGCAGCTAACAGCAACAACAACTTAACTCTCTTACAACCACATCCTGCACCCACCCAGTGGGTATATTGTCCCTTCTTCTGCCCCCTAGTGTGGTTCCAGTGTTCTTTTTGATTGTCAGTATTCAGTTCTTATTAGATGTTGTAATTTTTATTTAAACTTGAACCACTTAAACCATGTGGTATACAAGGTTAACAGTTTCTTTCTTGTGCAGCTGTTTTTCCCTGTAGTTACTGCTTTCTGTACTTTTTCCTTTGCTGGTTTCTTACATACTTGTCACTAATTACTACTATATTTTTTTTTTTTTCTTTTTCTTGTTTCTATGTATTTATCACTGATTCTTGGTATGGCGCTGTGGGTTAATGCGCCGGACTGTACAGTCGTTTGAACTGTAATGTTGGTGGTTCAAGCTCACCAGTCACTCCTCATAAACCCTATACAGGGTCATTATGGGTCGGAACTGACTCGATGGCACCTAACAACAACATCACTAATTCCTTGAGTCAAAATATGAGGTGGCTTCCATTATCTATTAATTTCTATTTTTCCATAAACTTTTTTAATCCTTTTATACATTCATGAGGTATTTTGTGAGTTTCTTTTTCTCCTGGTGCCATCTTCTTGTTTCATGAAGTACTGGTTGTTCTGTAGACCTGCTACATAGCTATTGTCCTGAGTCTTCCCTTCTTCTCTCTCCTGTGAAGCTCCCTGCTTCATGGCTCCTTCTGAGAAAAAGATAAAAGGGAAGTGACTATCTTGAAGCCTTGCATGTTTGGAAAGGTCTTTATTTCATCCCTTATATAGTGATTGGTAGTTTGGTTGGATGTTAGAGTTTTAAGTTGGAATTGCTTTTCTCTGTTGTCTTGTTTGGTTTCCAGTGCTGTTATTGAAAACCTGGTGCCACACTATAGTTCTGAGGCCTGTATTTTTATGTACAACTGGAGGATCTTCTTTGGTATCCCTGGTGTTCTGAATTTTCAGAATTATGATCTAGTTGTTGGTCTCTTCGCTAGTTGTGCTGGGCACTTGATAGGCCCTATCCATCTGGAAACATACTCTACGGTCCTGGGAACGTGAATGATTTCTTTGATTTTTTTCCTTCTCTTTGTTTTCTATTGTCCTTTCATTAAACTTGTAATGTATGTATGCATGTGACTTTCTTACCTTTTCTTATCCATTTTGCCATCCTTATCTTTTTGTTCTGCCTTCTAGAAAATATCTTTAACATTGTCTTCTTGTTGTTATTTAGTGCTGTAGAATCGATTCTGACTCATAGCCCTGGGATACAGTGGGCTAAGCTTTGGGCTACTAACCCCAAGGTCATCAGTTCAAAGTCCCCAGCCATTCCATAAGAGAAAAATGAGGCTGTTTGCTCCGGTAAAGATTTGTAGTCTCTGAAACACTAAGGAACAATTCTACTCTGTTGTATAAAGTCATTGTGAGTCAATTCAGTATCAGCGGGCTTGTTTGTGTTGTTTGGTTTCTTAAGGTGCCAAGTTATATGTGTAAATATTTGTCACATAGTTGGACTTTAAGTTTAAAAAAATTGTCTTATCCATCTCTAAATCACAATTCCTAGGTTATTCTATATATTTTATTTATTTTGGGGGGCGGTTAATAACAAATGTACCTTGTTGCTATATAACAGCTTCCTTTTATAGATGCTGTACGAGTGAATGAGTAAGTAAGTGAATAAATGAAAGAGGGACCACATTCTATTTTAGGCATGGGGAGTGTCCAAGAGAAAGGCAGAGAAGTTGGACATTAGTGTGCTTTGTGGAAGAGGACTGTAAGGCTCTTGTTGTTAAATACCATGGAGTCAGTACCGACTCATAGTGACCCTTAATAGGGTTTCCAAGGAGCAGCTGGTGAGCTTGAACCGCTGCCTTTGTGATTCAAACCAGCCTTTCAGTCTGTCGCATTAACCCACAGCGCTACACCAGGAATCCAAAAACAATGGTTGTTGTTGTTAAGTACTATGGAGTTGGTTCCAACTCATAGTGGCCCTGCACAGGGTTTCCAAGGCTGTAAATCTTTACGGGAGCAGAAAGCTTCATCTTTCTTCCACGGAAAGGCTGGTAGTTTCAAACTGCCTACCTTGAGGTTAACAGCCTGATGCCACAAAGTAGGTGGCAGTGCCTCAACTGTATGCATGTTGTAAGACCCAAGGGCTCTTCCATCCGTGTCAAGGGGAGTGCTAACCTTCTCTCCTTTCATACAACTCCTTTTGGTGAGGCGCTTAGCTTATTGACACTCATTAACAATGGACACATGGCTGAAGAGTTGAGCCAGTCAGTTTACTTCGTTGAGTAGAGGCTGGGAAGTGAAGTAATATGGTGCCAGTAGTATAAGGCATTTGAATTAACCCAGATCAGGGTTAGAGAATTTCTGACTCATGGTCTTAGTAAAATTTTTAGGATGAGCATTTGAGAAATGAGCTTGTGAGAAAAAAATTATCCCTGCTGTCCCTTAGAATAATAAGACTGAAATGAACTGGTAGCTGTTAAGTGTGTCTCTAAGTTTGTGGCTGAGTTTTGTTGACTCAGGAAGCAGGTCCAAAGACCAAAATCCTTGTTTATCCACACGGCTGTAAAAACAACCTAACTTTAAATCTGTGGAAGCAATAAACTAACTAAGCCATAACATGGGGTATGTTTCAGCAGTAAAAGTATTTCATCTCTTGCCCTTTTCCTTAATTTTCTTATTAGATGCCATTTTTCTTTTTAGTTTTTTGGTGCTGTCAGCCACATATGGTTATTTAAAGTTAATATAAATTTTTTTCATTTGGTTGCTCAGTCACACTAACCACATACACAGGGGCTCAGTAACCACATGAGCTTGTTAGTTCCAACTCATAGTGGCTCTGAATAGGGTTCCCAAGAAGCTGGTGGGTTGGAACTGCCAACCTTGTGGTGAGCTGTTGTTAAGTGCTGTCAAGTCGGTTCCAACTCACAGCAACCTTGTATAGGGTTTCCGAGGAGCAGCTGGTGGGTTGGAACTGCTGACCTTATGGTTCAAAGTCCAGTGCTGGTCCTATGGCACCACACCAGTAGTCTGAAGGTAAGCTAGCAGCTGCCATATTGGATATCACAGAATGTATTTCCATCTCAGAAAATTCTGTTGGATAGAGCTAGGCTGGACTCTGTAGAATTGCTGCATATAATTGTGCCTGATTGCACTTACTAGTTTTATCATCCTTGCCTTCATTGATAACCTGGATGAATGAAGCTTATTTCTTTTACAACATTAAGCTGTTTCTCACTTACATGGATCTTAGTTAATTGTTTGCTTTCCTGCTTGGTTTTCTACTGAGAACAGGCCTCCAGTCAGACTAAGTTAATGGATTTTCGTAGTTAGGAAGTAACAGGAGATAAAAAGGAGTGATTCAAAGAGCTTCTAGCCTGATTGGAAACGTAATTGATTGTGTTTTGCCAGATATCATTTCAAGAATGTCTTTTTCTTTTAAGATGCTAAAGAAAACCCATATGGGGAAGATGACAATAAGAGCCCGTTCCCCTTGCAGCCCAAAAACAAACGCAGCTATGCCCAGAATGTTACTGTTTGGATCAAACCCAGTGGCCTGCAGGTAACATTTTCCTCCACATCATTTTCTGTTGGGGACAAAAGGAGCGATTCTGGCTAGCACACAGACTTTTGATTTAATTTTCTTTTCTCTGATACTTACTAATTCATTTACCTTTAATGTTTTTCATTACTTACAAAAAGGATTTGAGATAGCCTACAGTAAAACACATATAGCAAAATCATTTTTTATAAAATTCAGAGCTGTAAAAACCTGTGGAGTGGAAAAAGGGAACCATTGTGCCAGGAACCTGAGGTAAAACAGTAATTGTATTTAAGCAATTTGGCTCTGAGCTTCCTGCAACCAAGGTCATAAAGGAAACATGTTGGGTTTTAGTTTTTCTTACCTGATCAAAGGACTCCTGTCAGCTCTTCTAAAGAGAAACACTTCCCTGACATTGGATTTTTATGTAAAATGTTTTGCAAGGTGAGACATTGAATAACAAAATGGTTGTTATCTTTAACAAGAGTTTTGGTTCTTTTTCCATCTCCACAGTAAATCCCAAGGCATAGCATTATATAATAATTCTGCAAAAGCACTTTCATGGGAAGCTCAGATAACATTATCAAGGTATGCAGCTTTCTGGCAAGGTACTGGACATCTCTCTTTCCATTGGCATAAAGTCATACACACCTATTTTAAAAAATCACTTCTTGAGCCTTTTTTCTCCAAATGCACATTTTTTGTTCTTTGTGCCTCCAATGTGCCCAGCCTACGCCAAATGAGAAGAAGCAGTCAGGCCACCTGACAACAGTGTGGTTTTTGCTGACTGCATGTCTTGTCTAGCCTTTTTCCATGGAAACTGTACTGCAGCCTGCCATGGCTAAGGGACCTCGTCTATTTGAAGGGAAATCCCTTCTCCACCATCCCTGACCCCCAGTGCATCCCTGTCAGACTGATAATTCCAACCACTTCCACCACAGGGTTTAGCTGAAATTTTCATTGTTTTTTTTTTGTGTGTTTTGGTCCTGGATGTGTTTTTGTGAGACTTACAAGTTCCTTTAGTTCATTTCTGTCACTGAAGGAATACTTTTGTCAGCATCAAGCCTCTTCCTGGAGGGAGGTGCTTTCCTATGGTGAATAGAAATGGAAATGAAAGTCCGAGCACCCTCTTGTTGACACTACAGCACTCTACTCAATTTCGTTTCTTTAACTACGTAGAGCCATCCTTCTGGTATTCTTTCTGCCATTTACCACAGAATTGTAATGTCAAGTTTTTCCACCCTTAACAGACAGATGTACAGAAGATCTTAAGAAATGCAAGGAAACTACCTGAGAAAACTCAGACATTCTATAAGGTGAGAGTGGCAGCTATTGCGGAAGAGGGTGTGTTCCAAACATAAATGATCATAACAGCAAGAGGGCGGAGTACAAAGTGAATGTGGACAGCAACTAGAAATGTATGACTTGTACCTCAGGTTTTTCATCCGGAAAGTCCACAGAAGAAATACGTTCCTCTTTGCCCTGAAATCCAAGAATGACAAATGTGTGTGTGACTGGCCTGGCTCTGTCCATGAAAAGGACTTCCTGTGTTTGTGCTTCTGTGAATGACTGGGGAAGGCAGCTGGCAGGGCCTTTGTGGGGGTCATAGCCCTTAATCCTCCTCGCTGTGTATATGACTTCCTGGAATGCTGAGTTACTGCACCAGAGAAGCTGCCTCTAGGAAAAGCTTCTAAAATTACACATTTATGAATTACAAAGAAGATGGCCCTCCAGAATGATACCCAACTAATCGAGAGCCAGTGTGGCAGAAGGAAGTTACAAGGGACAAGATGGGATGCTGGTGGCACTTAGGCTCACTCCTTGTTTCTCCCTCAACCTTGGGTTAAGAGATGGTAGTAGTCGGAGCTCTCGTCTGTCTTTTCTGGTTTTGTGTAATCCCGCATGTAAGAGCGGGACAAGGGTCTCTGGCAATTGACTGCTTCAGCCCACTGCAGTGCAAAAGGGATTATTTGTAAATGACACCACTTACTGAGACCACATTGGTGTGTACTGGATGGGGCAGGGCCCCTTGGATTCCTGCTTCCACCAGGACCCAACCTTTCTTGTGGTGTACTCCAGAAATGGTGATTATCATTCAGTGTGAGTCCCAGTCAAGGGCACCAGAAAGTTAAGTGCCCTCTGAGAACTGGGGTAGACCTTTCCTAGATCTGAGGAACGGGAAAAGTAACATCCTCCTCATAGTTAAGAAAGGTGAATGCAATGGTTTGGGATAAATGCTCATTACCTGTGCTGATGGTACAACCTGTTTTTCAGTCAACTCACCATCTTCTTTATCAAATAACTTTGTAATCACCTGCATAGAAGCCACTTTCCAGTCTTTTTTTTTCTGCTTTATTTATTTATTTATTTTTATTAAA